GGGGGGGGGGGGGGGGGAGCAGTGTCAAATGAACAATTCTTTGGAAATATTCTATGAAAACAATTTCTTCTCACCTGAAGTCTCTAGTAAATTCCTACAACAAATAAAATCTTTTACCAGCCAATTTTTCATTGCTTCTCCCCAATATAATCCTATATAAGAAAAGGCTTATATACAAATTGTCCCCTCGGGAGTTCAACCAACTGGGAGTTCGGCCACTTGCTATGATGTGCACTGACCACCAGGGGGTGGCGCCGAATGAAGGCAGGCAGGCCCCAGCCAGCAGCCAGTAGCTGGCGGAAGGAAGGCCCCGATCAGCCTTGATCACTGGCCAGGCCTAGGTGCTCTACCCATGCACAAATTTCATGCACTGGGCCTCTAGTTGCTCTGTAATAGAAAGCATGGATAATTCCACAGCACAGCCTATTTCTAGGCTACTAGAGGGAGGTATAAATGCCCATGTACAGTCTTCTTTACAGATGTGCAGAGTTAATGCTACCGTCAGATAAATGCCATAATGTCAATGAAGTTGGCATAGAATTCATCTAAACAAAAAAGTACGTGAATTTTGTACTATTTTCATTACCTTAGAAAATTAATTTCTGATGAAGTCTACCTAGTCAAATTATCTAATGCCTTGGTATCTTGTTTGATAGTTGTCCATAATTGTATCACATGATGACACAGGAAAAAAGGTAGATGATGATGTACAGAAATAGTACCTTGGTTTTAAGATGTTATCTCCTGCATACCAACACAATGAAAATGCTTGTAGTTATTTAAAAGTCCTTAATTCACTGTTTCTGTGAGAATACAGGGCATGTTAAATTCACATCATTTAGCCCTGGCCAGTGTGGCTGTTCAGTGGTTAGAGCATTGGCCTGCGGACCTAAGGGTTGCGGGTTTGATTCCTGGTCAGGGTGAGTGTGGGAGGCAACCCATAGATCTGTCTCTCTCACATGGGTCTCTCTCTCTCTCTCTCTCTCTCTCTCTCTCTCTTTCTCTCACTCTCCTCCCTCCCTTCCACTACTCTCTCTAAAAATCAATGGAAAAAATATCCTCCAAGAAAAAAAAGTTCACGTCATTTACTCAGCCACCTCCAGTTCCTTCATACTTCTTCTTTACATATTTTCTATATAGAACTATAATTAAATTACCTGATGTATGTAAAGTGCTTTGAGAAAAGCTTGGCACATATGGACACTATGCATGGTTTGTTATCATTGTTATTATTGCTATTATTTCATGTGTTATAAGTGATGCTCTTTATGTCTTATGCTCTGCAAAGATTCTAAAGTAGTATGGTTGGCTTTAACAAGTTCAATCCAGTGCTCGCAGAGGGAGAAAGTCTAATATGCAAGGCATCTTCTTTATTTTTCTTTTTTGGGACAGAACATTCAAATCACCTTGGAAGTGATCAAAGTGATTAAAAAATGTGTTGGGAAGAGTTTGTGTGTTTGTATCTCTAGATAAATGTTACCAAGTGATTACCTGAAATGGTAAATGTTGAGAACAAATTAAAAAGAGTCTTTTATAAGTCTACCACAAAGAAGAACTAATTAAAACAGCCCCTGCTCACACTGTATTAGCTTCAGACTGTGGTAAATCACTTGCAATATTATTAAAGTATTTCACTATATATTTTATTTTTATAATAATGAATCTGGTATGCTCTACTCTCCTTTGGCTTGTTACACATTAATCATTCCACTCGCTCAGGGCATCATCTTCACGTCCATGCATTCCTGTTGGTGATCGTTCAAGAGAAGCTGACCCTTTGCCTTTCACTGAAGTCTGCTCAGAACGTACCTCAGTCCCTGAGACTTTTCCTTCCCAGAAAGTCTTTACTGCCGCCCTGGGAGATAAAACAAAAACAAAAAAATCTTTTATGTGAAATGAAAACTAAAAATAGATTTATGTTTTGCTTTTGTCTGTATAGAAAAGCCTCCTTAGTCACAATTTATTTTTAGTTGGCGGTACATCAGTTGCATTGCAACAGCAGAGCCCTCAGATGTAACAGGGTATAATACTCATGTAGGTATTGGAAATATTCTCCTATAACTGCACTGGTAGGTTACAATAACCAATTTTGGGGGTTGTCATAACTACAACTGGACAGCACAAATATTCATTCAACAGACTTTTTAAAGCAACTACTATGTAAAACTGTAAAGACTGCTCTCTCATGACTGGGAAACAAGTCATGAGATTAGGCAGACTGTACTAGGACAGTCGCAGGAGTTGGGCAGTTTGAAGACACAGGTGAGAGACATGGACAGAGCTTTGGATTCATGGGACAAGGGAGGGGCAGAGAGATGGACATCAATCAAGGGGGAGACTCACTTTCAGTCCTTCACCTACCAGTTTATAATTATGAAGATCAGCACAAAGATCACAAATATACACATCACAACTCCTATGGTCAGCACAAAAACCAGCACTGCATCAGTGTCCGGTCCTTTTGATCTTTTCATCTGCAATTCTAGAGAAAAAAACATACATATATCTGATGATTATTCCTACTGACAGAAAAAGGAAATGGAAACTTTATATCTGAAAAGTAACTCTAGAAATATACAGAAAGAATTAGTGGATGGAAAGTTATTAATTAACTTGCTCTGCATGTTTGAAATGTTCTTTTCAAACATGCAGAAAGTTGAAAGACTTTGACCATGAACATTATGTATTCCTACCACCTAGACACTACCAACAACGTTTTACTATCCGTCTATCCATCCTTCTGTCCCATCCTGTATTTTTAATGCATTTCAACATAATTTACTGATGTCTGCGCATTTCCCAGCAAAATTCTTCAACTGGCATATCATTAACTATAGTTTATATTTTTTATATTCTTTATATTTTTTTCTTCTGAGGTAAAATTTCAACAATAAATTGCACAAAGATCTTAAATGTACATTTGCTTATTTTTGACATATACAAACACATACATGCAATTTAAACCCTTATCAATACACAGAATATTGCTATACCTCAGAAAGTGCCCTTGAGCCCCTCCCAGTTAATCCCTGCCCTATCATCCAGAGGCAACAACCGTCCTGATTCTCTTTTCCACCACCCATTAGTCCTGCCTGTTTCAGAATTCATAGGCATGGAAACGTATACTATGTATTCTTTTGTGTAGTGTTATGCCCAGATTTCAGGTTCCCCAAGAACCCACATCAGGGAGCCAGCCAGTCCGATGCAATAGCATAAGAGTCTTTATTCGAGCTAGCTCGGCTCCCCCACCTTGCCGACGCAGCGACAGGAAGCAGAGAGAGCGAGAACTCTTTGTGGAGCGGGGTTTTATAGGGGGTTGGAGTAAGGGGAGGAGAAAGCGCTGTGGCCTTGCCGATTGGCCAGGCGCAAGTCGGTGTCTTGTTCCTGGGTGTGGCTAGCAGAGGCTTAGACTTCCGGGAAGAAGCTCCTTGCCAAGCACATGGCCAAGGCAAGATGGAGGGCGTAGCCCTGACCCTGGGGCAAGATGGAGGGTGTAGCCCTCGCCCTTTCATGTAGGACTTTTTCAATCAATATAATGTTTTAAGGATTCACCCATATTTGCACATGTACCAAGTTTTTTTCTTTTTTATTGAGTTTTTTTCTTTTTTATTAATGAGTAGTATCTCTCAATTTGTTTACTCATTCTCTTATTGATAGACATCTAAGCTGTTCCAGTTTGGTGCTATTATAAATAAACTGCTATGTACCTTTTTGAAGAAATCATTCTGTGAACAGACATTTTCATTTCTCTTGGATAAATACATAAGAGTAGAACTGCTGGGTCATAGGGTAGAGGTATGCTTAGCTTTCCAAGACACTGCAAGACCTTTTCTTAAACTGATTGTATTAATTGTACGTTTTATAAATTTCTTTCTCTCGGATTTTTGGCTTGCCTATTCATTTTTATAATGATTTCTGTTAATGAACTGCAGTTTTTAGTTTTGGTGAAGCATAATTGATCAATGTTTCCTTTAACGGTGTTGGTTTTCTGAGTCATGTCCAAGAAACCCTTGCCTACTCCTGAATTATGCAGATGTTCTATGTTTCCCTTTTTAAAGCTTTCTGGATTTGACTTTTACCTTTAAGACTATGATACATCTCTGATTTTTATATATGTTGTAAGACAGTGGTTGAAGCTCATTTTTTTTTCATACAAATACCCACACACCACTTTTAAATCAGGCATTCTCTCCCATATCTTTATGAACATAAGGCTATTAAAAGGACAAAGCCAGTCTACCATATGTGTTATAACATTGCTGCATTATAAATTGGTGAAAAGCCAATTTACATAAAGTATTACATTGTGAATTATATAGCTTTCTTGTGGCTCTTTCTGGTTCCTAAATCATAGAATCATAAAAGATTTACGTGGAAAGGACCAGATGCAACTGCTGAATCATACCAATGTCTAAGGGGGTTTAATGATTTCTGCAGCTATGTTTTACATATTTTAATATTTTAATTTTGGTAAGTATCAATCTATCCAAAGTAATCTCCTATATGAGCAACCTCAACAGCTTATTTGTCTGAATTTTTCTTTCTATTCTTTAAACACCATGGAGTATAGTATTCCATTTTCCTTAGTAGTTCTACAGTTATGCACTCAATTTAGTGATCTCACTAAATAGTTCCAAATATGATAGAGAAGTTACATATTTACATTCCAACATTGTTGAATTTTAAAAATAATTTCAGTTTTGCTAATTTTAGGTTTATAAAAGCCGTGGGATTTTTTAAGCTCAAATAAAAGACACCTTGTAGGAGCCTTAACAGGTTTGGCTCAATGGGTAGAGCGTTGGCCTGTGGACTCAAGGGTCCCAGGTTCGATTCCAGTCAAGGGGATGTACCTTGGTTGCAGGCACATACCCAGTAGGGAGTGTGCAGAAGGCAGCTGTTCGATGTTTCTCTCTCATCGATGTTTCTAACATTCTATCCCTCTCCCTTCCTCTCTGTAAAAAATCAATAAAATATATATTTTTTAAAAAAGACACCTTGTAGGATTAAAACCTGAAAAGAAATGCAAAATTCCCTTCCATTTATCTATGACCCTGCAATACTAGCCAAGAAGGTAGAGAGTGAGGGTATGAAGATTTTAGTTCATTTCAATGGGGGTCTTCCCACAAGGATCACTTAGATTGCTTTTAAATCTAATAACTAAAAAGGCTGCATTTCCTCTTGAAATTTTCTAATAAAGAAATAGGCTGAATTTTTTTTAGTAAAACTAAACTTATGTTTGTATTAGTTTCCCAGAGCCACCATAACAAAGTACCACAAACTAGTTAACTTAAAAACAAAGGAAATTTGCTGTCTCATAGTTCTGGAGGCTAAAATTCTGAATACAAGGTATTGGTATGGCCATGTTCCCTCCAGAGATTCTGAGAGAGGACCCCTCCTTTCTTCTTCCAGTCTTTGGAAGCCCCTATGTTCCTCGACTGGGGCAGCATAATTCCAGTCTCTGACTGTTTTCTCATGGCTGCCTTTTCTCATGTGTCTTTGTGTCTTCACATGGCATTCTCTTCTGTCTCGCTCTCTCTGTCTGTCTGTGTCCAAATTTCCCTCTTCTTATAAAGACACCAGTCATATTGGGTTAAAGTCCCACTCCAGTGTGTATGACCTTATCTTAACTGAACTAATTACATCAGCAATGACCCTATTTCCAAATATGGGCACATTCTGAGGTTCTGGGAGTTAGAACTTGAAAGTATCTTTTTAGTGGGACACAATTCAAGCCAAGACAATGCCTAATTATGAAGGACAACTATTGTAGAAGTGAAAAATCTGATATATAAGGGAATGGATGGGACATTTTCATTAACTAAATAATATTTACCCTAAAATATTTGAATTATGTATTTGTTTCAAGCCAGTACCATATTGTGGACATTTATAACCAATACACTTGTTTGATGTCCAAACAACCCAAAGGGTCTGTCACAGTGGTGTATCCAATTGTCATTTTAAAAGAAACCAATAGATCCAAAGTGTTCTGAAAACATTTTATCAATTAACCAGTGCGTGTACTGAGATAGCAGAGCTACCCCACCAGCCCTAAACTGAGAAGACATAGTTAGCTCTGCTATCTCAGTTAAGGACTGACATTATGGAGTCTGTGTTCCAGGCCTTTACTTATGTACTGTCAAATGCATGTCACCTTCTAGTCATGGGAAGAGCTAACTACTGAGATGTCCTAACATCTCAAGAAAGGGGACAAAAACCAAGAATGCCCTCTGATAGCTATAATATCCTGAACAAAACTCATTGAGAAAAATTTTATTTTGATAATGTTTGGTCTTCTTTGGCCTTTTTTAGCACTTTATTAAAATTACCCTTTTAACACAGCCGGTGTGGGTCAGTGGTTGAGTGTCAATCCATGAACCAAGAGGTCACTGGTTCGATTCCCAGTCAGGGCACATGCTTGAGTTTTGGGCTTGATCCCCAGTAGGGGGAGTGCATAAAGCAGCCAATTGATTCTCTCTCATCATTGATGTTTCTATCTCTCTCTCCCTTTCTCTCTCTGAAATAAAAAAATATACATTTTAAATTATCCTTTCAATAACAACTGGAGTAAGATTATTAGCTTTCACAAGAAAGATGTTTTTTAAAGACATTATACAACATATCAAAGAAATTTATAAATAATTTATTTCAAAAAACCATCCCCAAACAGTTTAGCTTGTTTTCATTCAATAAAGGGTGCTATGTTGCATGGTATCTCTAGACTACAGCATAAATTCTTTACTTGGGATTAAGAAATACCTTCAAGAAATCCATGAACTCCCTTTAAAATCACAGGTAACTCTTGGCATGATTGTATATGTGGGCATTTTTCTGGTAAAAGCCTCCTGAGCCTTAATTGGATTCTAAAAAATCCTGTGACCAAACCTGCGGGAAGCCACCACTTGATGATACTGTCACGAGAGTGCACCAAGGAACGCGGAAGGCCAATAGACCTTGGGCATTAGCAGGGCTGACGCTAAGCACCTTGTCTGTTGAGAGAGTGGTGGCTCAAGGCAATTCCTTAACCTGACAATCCTTTTACTGTTTACCAAATTTTACCTTTGATATGCCTGTATGCATTGCTAAAGGGCAAATGTGTATTCAAGTAAATAAATAGTAGACCAGGTCAAAGTCAGTGTGCTTTTCATGAAAGACACACCACCTGGCCACCACCCCTTAATAATTCATATTTCTTGTCTAGAATTTTCCTTTGTACATCAGCCCCTCCTTCAGATCCTGAACCCAGTACTGCAGGTCGCGGCAAAACCTCCACTTCCCAATAGCAAAGATGACAACAACAATAAAAATGGTTAAGAGCAACTGAACTAAAGGAAATAATTATATCATAGTCTAAATTAAAAGGACATGCACATGGATCCATTTCACAAGGAAAGCAGTTTTTAACTTGTGAAATGATGTTCAGAACAAGATTTGCCTTTTGTGACATATATTGATGGCTATTATTATTGTTTTGTCAAAAAATGTTTTCTTCAAATGGGTAATTTTTAAAAAGACATGCCTTGACATAATGCTTCTTAATTTCATTTTATTGTACAAAATTTTTATAAGCATTCATGAGAACTCCATGTATACATTTTCACTTTTGTGGTGAAGTAAAAGTAAAAATATAATCCAAGTTACAGGATTGTTCTTTGGAGAAATTTCAGGAATACACTAGTTTCCCAAAGTGAGGAAAATCCAACTGTACTTTGTGAAAAAGAAATGAAGCACTACCTTGTAGAAAAGTCTAAATGATCTGAACCAGTGTTTCTCAAACTATGGTGTCTGCGAGCAGCACCTGGGAACTTGTTAGAATTGTAAATTCTTTTGTCTACCCCACCCAAGATCAACTGAATTGGAAACTCTGTGGGTTAGGCTAGCCATCTGTGTGTCAAGAAGCCCTCCAAGTGATTTTGATGCTCTCTAAAGTTTGAGATAAGCAAACCAAAATATTGCTGGGCACTTACCATTTGAGGTATAGACTGTGAATCTAAGAGATGCTACTATTTCATTATTCTCGAAGGTATCGCACTCATAATCCAAGGGGTGAATTGGCCTGCTTACTTCTAGGATTGCTGAATCATTTGCAAGTACAACGGGTTGCTTTTTAAAAGAAAAGAAGTATCAACATTTTTCATGTAAACTTAAGATCAGGAAATAATTTTATTTCCTGTAACAAAAAAGGAGCCATTATCTCTCAGTCTAGGGCAGTAACTAATTATGCACATGAATTTCATAGTCAGACAGTCTAGACATCAAGTTCCAATCCTACCATTTCCTGCCTGTGTGACCCAGAGCAAGTTACTCTCAGCATTTCAGTTTCTTATCTGTAAAATGGGTATAATGTTAGGAATTACCTCATAGGATTGTTATGTGGGTTAAAAGAAACATTAACATTTGGTGTATGTCTGACACTTAATTAGCCCTCAGTTAATGTTAGCTACTGTTGTCATTAATATATATGACAATGAAAACCTTGACAATGAAATATATATGACAATGAAAACCTTCCTATATATACATTGAAAACCTTGCTTCCAAAATAAAATAATTTGTATAAAATGAATGTTTTTAAGTTCTGTTAATAGCTGATCCTAAAACACATGTTTATAAATTATTAAAAAAATTAAATCCTAATAATAATAAGCTGTATGATTTTAACTTCATTTTTTCAAACTGCTTTTAAAGAGAGTTTTCTGGCAGTCATCAAGCACTGGTAAACAAATTTTATCACTCACTACAAAGCACCAAATTACACTCATTACTCACTTGCTCTGGCCTTAGAATTTTCCAAATATATTTGAAACGATTTTCAGGAGCTGTATGAACACAGGCCAGTTTCACACTGTCAAGACTTTCTGATATTGGTTTACCCCCTGAAAAAAGAAAAATTAAATACAAAAATACCATAGAGCATTGTAAATTGCTTTATAAATAATATTACTTTTAAAAACCACCTCCAATTTTAAAATAAATTCTATGCTAGAAGTTATCAGACTTAGAGTTTGAGTGTAGAAGATCAGAGAGGAGTGATGGATGCAAAGATAAAGTCACCAAAAGAAGCAGGTAGGAGACTCCATAGCTATCTGCTCCTTCAGTAAAATAAACTGTGGAGAAGAGGAATAGTAAGGGCAACCAACTCAATGAGCTAATATACTTTGAGATCTACTCATGGCTTCCAATTTACTGGTTAGGGACCCCATAAGAGATAATGAAATCTCAGCACTGTGTAATTTGATATAGAACATCACTTAAAATTTAGGGTGTACCAATCTACTGATAAAATGTCATGACCAAAGTGTCAACAGTATTTTGCTATAGGACAGCCTTGACCACAGAGCCTGAGTACAATAAGGTTACAGTGTATTGCAGAAAATATATGTTAAATTTTAGACATTGAAAAAATGTAAAGTAACAGCAGAGAGTTATTCAGAGCTATAACTGTCCTGAGAAATGGAATTTTAAGTTTTCTTATGATTTCCTTTCAGTATGTCAATTCCACTCATGACAACCTGAAGTTAAAGTATTTCCCCAGAGTAAACTCTTCCCCCCTCAGTCTCCCTCCAGAGTCCAACTCACAGCCACAGTCTACTGGTCCACGACATTCTTCCACCCGTACAATGCACTTAGATTCACCTCCAGGGCATCCATTTGTTAACATAACTTCTCTAATACCAACACCTTCAGTAAAAGAAAATGGCAAATGTTAGGAAAAACAAATTCCACAGAGTTGTTTTCTTTACTATCTAAGTTTTTATTGAGACTTTTTTCTTAATTTCAGAAATTAAATTCCAAAAATCAGGTTTACAACATTTAGAATTTTTAGATCCTTTATTTTTAATTACTTCCTAAAACAGCTTTTCCTAAAGTGAGTTACATGTAACACCAGCCCTTCTGATTGTTACCATTAGAAAAAGAATTCCATGATTATACACATTTGAAAATAATGCATTAAATAAAATTAAAGGGATAGCTTTACTACAGAATTTGGGGAAAACTTTTAAAATGCTAATAAATTAACATGCTTTGTGTGTAAACTTTCATTGATTTAACATGTAAAATTTTTACATCTTAACATATTTGAAATCAGAATGCATCTTAAAATTGATGGCATATCACAAATTGGCAGGATTTTCCTTTTTAGAGATGCATAAATTGTGCTTCTTACAACCAATAAAGTGTTAGATTTAATGAAATACATAGTACACAGGATCTCCCAAATTAATTTGACCATGGAACTTTTAGGAACTTGTAGGGAGACTTGGAGCTGCTAGAGGAAATTCCAAAATCATATTTTAACATAAATTAAGCCTTTTAATATTTAGATTGGTAATAAATATAGCAGGACAAACTATTAATTATCGAATCTCCATTTTCAACAACATACTCTCTTTAGAATTGCCACACATTTTTGTAACAAGAAACCAAGCCTTTACTATCACAGATCTTCAGAGTTTGCCTTTCATCACCAGAATTGGAGATGATAAAATGCTTGATCAGCAACATGCTGAACATGTCCTGTGATAAACCGACTGTGAATGAAAACGGGGCCACAAACCAAACCTGACAAGCTCAGGGGGGTCTGCATGTGGGCCTTAGAAACTCAAGTAACCACATAGGATGGTCTGAACATAAAAATTCCTAACTGAAAGCAAGTCATGGTGGGTAGTCACATTCTAGGCCTGTAGCTTCCTTGACAAAGGTCAATCTTTACCTCAAGTAAGCCTGTTTATTATCTTTTTGCATCTAAGATAACATGTCAGCGTAATCTTCTTCTCCAGATCCCTCAAGCCACAACCCAGGCATGAGAGCACACAATCACAGAACCTTCCCTGTTAGCTTATTCCCCGAATACCATCTCTAGAGTTAATTACTAACTTTCCTGTACCCACCAATGTGAAGGAAGTATGTGTTTCTCTATTTTGCCTTTTTATCCAGTCCCAGAGATTTCCCTGGTTTGCTTTCTCCCGCCCCCTTAATCTACCATCAATGGATTTCATGTTCCGTCCTGAAGTCTCCTCCTTTTATTCTAATGTACAAAATAAACTGCAAAACTGGCATTCTTCAGAGCATTTTCTCAATCTATTGAGATTTTGCATCCTGGCAATTGTCAGTTTGGCTCAAACTCATAAAAATTCTCTATAGGTTTGGATGTTTCTTAAGTCGACATGACCTATGAAAAGACTGTATGGTCACAGGCTAGGGAACTGTCCATCTTGATTTCCTTGTTTACCAGATTTCCTCTTCCAACCCCTATAGGATGTTAATCATAAAATCCATTCTCAAGGGCAAGGGGAAGTTGAAATTAGAAATGGCTTACCATAGTTCTTCTCGAAGTTCAGCGAGCCTGCGGATCGCCTGGAGATCTTACATGAAATTCTGACTCAGCAGGTTCTGAGAGTCTGCCTTCCTAACAAGCTCCCAAGTTATGTGGCTGGTCTCTGGACCAAAAATTGAGTAGCAAGGGAGAGGGCTCCATATGAGATAAAGAAATAGAAGATTGGAAGAGGAAAGGTCTCTTGATTAAAAGAGATGCCTAAAAATGGCTACAGTATGGTTCCACGTGAATTTATGAAAGGTCCCTATTTAGAAGCACACCCTTATTCTGAAATGCATAAAAAATTTTCAAGCATAAATAAATAAATGTATTTATTTATTTTGCAAAATACAGTTTATTGCGATGATGTGGATAGCTAAGATTTTCTGTAAATCCAAGTGACACTCAAAAATCTGCCTGTGTATTCCAGAAAAAGAAAAAATGTTGACTGCTACATTATTTTGGGAGTTCAATAGAATTTTCACTGAAGCATTTTTCCCTTCACATAGTTGTTACAAATTGAAAACATTTTTTAAATATTTAAAAAATATTTTAGATGCGAAATGTTGTCTTTTCTGGTTTTTCTCCTTAAAACTTATCACCATCTGACATATTACATATTTTACTTTTATTTATGTCTTTGACCCAACTAAAATATGTAATCCTTGAAGGCAGCATTTCCTCTGCTTTCTTCACAGCTGTATTCCCAGTAGAATACATTGTAGACAGAAAAAATTTCTAAAAGTCCCCAAACAGAAAATCATTTGTTGAATGAATATATAATTTCGAAAGACATCTTTAAATAATAGTGTAAGACAATATATAATTACTAGAATTGTCATAAATATAATTCTCTTATGAAAATGTTTCAAGTAAGCAACAAAGAAAGATATAAATTGTAAATGAATAATCACAGGTTTATTACATGGATTCTTCTCATTTTCTGACTTTCATTCATGAAGAAATTAAGATTTTTTTAAAAAAAAAAGGCTGAAAACTATCTCAAGAGACAGAAAATGGAACAGTGAACAGGAACAAGACAGGGATGCCCACTCTCGCCACTCCTGTTCGACATAGTACTGGAAGTATTAGCCATTGCGATTAGACAAGAAGAAGAAATAAAAGGCATCCAAATTGGAAAAG